TAACGTTTTGTTTAGCAGAAAAAGTCCCTTTTTTTTTTTTTTTTTTTTTTTGCTTTTATATCCTGCAAAGTACGTACTTTTAAAATGTATTTATTTTTATACTCTCCTGTGCACTTTACTCAAACTCGATCTCATAAATCAATACAGTGTCAGTATATTGTCCATGTCCCCAACCCCTATATCCACTCGCGCTAACCATAAACCTACCAGTCTCATCAACGTGCAATTGAGACAACATACCACCATGATGTCCAGGAACGATCAAGAATGGAGTAGCCTGTTTCTTCAAATTCACCTCCATATTACCCAAATCATCATAAAGTCGCAAATCATACAACCGAATATTATCATTTGATCCACAAAGCAAGAAATCCTTATTGGGCATAGTGGTCAACGCACTTACGGGTCCACTGATTTTCGGAAACTGCAACAATTTCGAAATGTTGGGCACCATCGTATCTTTATGATGACCCGACAAAGACCGCTTGTGGGGCATCTTGATTGAAATCTCCTCAATGGTGGAATTACGGCGTCCGGCAAAGATGAAATCTCCATCATTGGACCACGTCAGGGCCATACACCATGGTGGTGTTCCTTCAGATACGCCTAGTCGAATTACCGGCTGGTTTAATCGGATATCCCAGATATTTATTGTCCCATCGATACTTGAGCTCATAAAGATATTGGAGTTTAGATGTGGCTTGGATTGTGGTTCTTTTGTAGAGGATGGATGTTTGTCTTGATCGTTTGTGGGTTGATTATCCTCTCGTTGTTTTTCTTCTTGATCGCTGTCACCAAATAATGAATCGACATCGTCGTCGTCGTCGTCGTCGTCATCATTGCCAGTTTTATCTATCTTGTCATTGTTCCCAGCAGGAGCATCTCCGGAGTCATCACCATTGACGAGAAAACTAATATCGTCCAATCCATCAGGTCTATATTGGATATTGGAAATCTGTCCGGATGAAGGTAGGAACTCAATAACTGTTTTCCCCGTGTTCAAATCCCATTCTCTAATCGTCTTATCCCATGACCCACTCAAGAATCGATCTTGCTCCTGATTCAACCTCAACACACTCACAGTATCTATATGACCTCTTCGTCGATATTGTGACGTTCCATGATTGAAGTAATGATGGATCGTACCTTCATTATATCGCATCGTGTAGAGACTTATCCCACCAGACAACAATCCCGACAAGCACCACAACCCACTACGTTCTGCTTCCAATGCATACACGGGGTTCACTTTTGGTTCATAAGATACACTACCGGTTGAAAAATCGGAATCTTTCAATTTCGGATTCTGCTTCATCAATTGTTTGCGTGTCAAAGGTTGTTCATTCTCCCAGTACGAACAGATTACACCACCATTGGATACCGAGTCGGGCACATTGTGTTTCTGTGCCATTGTTAGGGGAGCTTTACCTTCAACCGATTGTATAAAGTCATATTTCCGTATAAACCCATCCTCACCACCAGTGATGATCCATTTAGGACCTTGAGTAAATGCCAATGCATGGCATTGAGATGTATACGGTATAGCAACTTGAGGAATGATGTCAAAATCTGTGGCTTTACGAGCCTTGGAAATGATTTGTTGACGAAAGGGAACATTAGTCTCAGACTCCTCGATATCCTTGATGAGTTCGTCTCTTGTGGGCTCCGTGGATAGTGATTGTGGTGATTCTGTATCAACCTGTGTATCCTGTGTATCTCGTGACGGCCTAGACGGTGTAGTTTCTGGTGCTGTCTCGGGTTGGCGCTCTTCACCGTCACCGTTGTCTTCGAGTTCAAGTGCCTCCACTTTTTCACTGGTGTTAGGGGCACTGGTAGGTTCGCCTGTCTGTTCCGCAAGGCTCTTGTTTTCTTCGACGCTGGCAACGCCATCTGAGTCCTTTTCATGGGAGGCCTTGACTTCTCCCTCATTCGCAGTGTTTGCATCGCCATCCTCGCCATCTTGCCTATCCTCTTCGTCAGCCTCCCCTCCGTCCGCCTCCCCTCCGTCCGCCTCGCCTCCGTCCTCTTCTTCTTCCTCTTCCTCCTCCTCTTCCTCCTCCTCTTCCTCCTCCTCTTCCGCTTCTCCTTCCTCGTCACCCTCGTCCTCCTCTTCTCCTTCATCCTCTTCCTCCATGTCTTCCTCGTCACCCTCAATCATTTCATCGTCGTCATCTTCTTCTTCCTGATCGTTGGGATTTTCAGCCTGTTCATCCTCGGGCTCCATGTCGTAATCCTGACTGTTTTCATTGTCCTGGTATTCATCTTCCATATCATCGTCTTCAGCATTGAATAAGTCATCTTGCTCAATTGAGGCCATTGTCTAGTCTGTAGAAAGTGGTTCTAATACTGTTGTAATTCAAACGAGTGAGTCGGTGAGTCTCTTGTACACGATTAACTTGATTTTTTTTTTGTATCTTTCTGAACCAACACACACACGCAAGTTCACGAACAATTCACACTTAAACTCATGGTTGACCCCTGCTAACTGTAGACGAAAAAAAAACAAAGCACTGCAGGTGCATCTGCAGAATCAGTGCCAATTGAATCACCAGCTTCGTTCAAGTGTGCTCAACGTTTTGTTGAGAATAGCATTGCCTTTGAACAAACACATCAGGACAAGCGTTACGTTTATAACAAGTGATCATCAAAGAATGGTCTTGTCTTGAGAGTTGGAATTATAGGATCATAGTTTTACCCATGTCGGAGGATTTTGTACATTGAGAGCTCAAAACTGTTGATGTTTGTCCAGTTGATCAACACGGGCAAGGATTGACCTTGCTGTTGAAGTTGCAAATCAATTTCGCGTCCTTTCCACTGAGTTGAAGTATTGCTGAGGTGCAACGTTATGGCTTGTGTATGAAAGTCATAGAGTCCATAGAGTATTGAATATCGCGCACGAGAGGTCAGTTTCTCATTGGCAAGGATTGCGCTCAATTGGGCCGGCGACTCAAATAAAGTGAGAGCATACCCGGCGGCTCAATGATTTGAATATCGACGAAAAACTCCGCCTAAAAAGATCGTTCGGGAAATATCGATAGAGAAAGACAACGCTAATACTTTGAGCACAAGGGAGAAAGAGCATACGTTTAGGGATCTCAAGGGATCAAAAGTAAGCCTGTTTCAAGATTCAAAGCTCTAAGGGAGAGTGCATCGAGTCCGACTAAGAACAAGACTCCTGAGAAAAAGAAAGCCGAAGGCGTCCTAGACAGTAAAAGTGTCAATGGCACCACGCCCAATGCACCACAATTGGACTGCAGTAACATGCAAGACATTGATACAATGGCGAAAGCCTACCTGATGGGAATGTATGACGATGACGTCGACGTGGAAGGTCCATTAGTCGAGGACTTGAAAGATTTCGAAAAGATCAACAAGATTGTTGAATCGAGGGATAGAAGAAAGGACCAACTAATTGGCTCTACTGGAGGAGAGACGTATGACAAAAAGTCTAATGAAGTGGGAATGGATTACGAAGACACTGCAGATATAGATGATTATGACGAGAACGAGACAATGATGAACGACATAGAGGAGCACGAATTTGATGAAGATGTGCTTGGTGAAGCTAATGATGAGAACGAGATTACCAATCAGGAGCTCAGCGACAGCTATCATAGGATGAGAGAGAAGATGCTTTTGAGAAACAGAGCGAATCAGGAAGAACAAGGATTTGAGCCCACGGATGAGGAGGGAGCCCCTGTCAGGATTAGCAAGTTCAAAGCAAGAATGAATAAGTAGATTGTCTAGTAATGGTACGCTGGATAGCAGCGTCCATGTTTCATTAGTGAAATAATAAACCTTGTTACTTTTGCGAAAAAAAAAAGACGCTACCATCTCTGGTTTGATACTTGGTTGCAAAACCAGCAAGAACCAACGAGTGCATCAAAACCAAGTGCATGCACAAGCCACAATGCATCAGTGTCGACAGCAGAATGAGAAAGGAGCACTATACGAACCACGGGTAGACTTTCGAGACACGCGTTAGATTTTCGAAAGAGCACTATATACTTCCACATCTGATGAATCCAACATCCCACCACCACAACAGCAGCCCATGACGAGGAGACCAAGTTGAGTTCATTTGAGAAAATGGTGCATGCCAAACCAGTGACTGGTGTGAGAGAGCTTTACATTGAATCGTTGAACAAGCCCAACTACTATGATCAGTTCGTGACAAGGAAAGTTGCTGAGACACGTAAATCTGTCCCACAAAGGAGAAAAGATGCAATGGATATGAAGTTGAATCCTTTGGAAAGTTTGCAAGTTGAACATCATTGCAGGAATGATGACAATAATGGTAGTGGCAAAGTTGAGGATTCCAATGAAGCATCTGGTCCGGGACCGGTTAGCACTGTTGTTGGTAATGTTGAATCTGTGAATGAGTACATTGTTAGTGTTTCCGGTAATGAGAGCAATGAAGATGAGGTGAATTGTTCATTAGTGGTCTCTCCCGTCAGTGGAATTGAAACCCCAGTCACTGAAGCCCCTGCAATTGAGCCAATTGAAAAGGACGTTGAAGCAGCTGTGAAATCTGGCAATAAATGGAAGAAGTTTTGCTTAAAGGTCAAAACATTTGGGAGTGATATTGGCAAACCGTTCAAGTCCCATAAAGCCAGAGTTGAACCTGACTTGCAAGTGTCTGAGACATGCAAGAAAACGTCTCGTTCCCTGAGGAAGCATGTGAGTCCACACTTGAAAGCGCTCGTTTCAAGGAAGAACAAAACGGCAAAGCAGAGTTGTGAATCTGCGGTTTGTGGTGAGGAGAACAACCTTCCTTCTGTGTCCCACGTTCTATCTCCCTCTGTGTCCCATGTTCTCTCCCCACCTATGGCAATTTTTGAAGAAGGGAATAACCCAATTGCTGCCAATCCAGCCTTACCTCATCGCTGTTGTGTCCTTGTGCCCGTTAATCTTGCTCAAGATGACACTTTGAGTCAAACAGGACCAAGTGAAATGACATCTGACGTCTTTGTGGCAGATAGTTGCCACAAAAGCAACGTGAAGAAGTTCAAGTGGAAGAAGTTGTTTCGTATCAAAAGGATTAGTGATGAATATGTGAACAAACCACCTGCTGATGCTGCCGCTGCTGTGAAGCTGCCTATCAAAATGATTATGAAACGGGTTGGGAAGCTGGTGGTGAAGGAGTATGTGAAGAAGGCATTGACTGATTTGTTGCCATCATGGATACGACACGGATGGCAAGAAGAGCGCACAATAGGAACCAACTTGAATTGACCATCTCAAGTAAAAAAGAGACGCCGTATACCTATAGACTTGACTTGATATGAACAGATTATGATACCGTTCTTCAGCATTCGATCTGAGCAGACTGCAATGGTGGATGGTGTCGCCAATGAACATTCATCTGCCGCAGTCCCACGTTCCTACTTAAATTGATATCTGAATATTGTGATTCAGTGTTGGTGCACAATAGTTTATGTATTGAGTAGCTTGACTTCACAATTGGAACTGATCATTCCCCAAGCATTCAACTAAGCCCGTTGTACTTCCAACTGGCTTGAGGTGCATTCAATGCGTGCCTGATACGGAAGCTGTTCACTGTGTTGCCTTCGTTAAGTATCTTCTGACTGGTACAGGCGATCACATTTCTTTGTCAGGGTGTGGATTCCTCAGATTTTGACGAATAGCCAGCACACTGATGGCACCGAAATTCTCAAAAACGTTGACTTGTGTCTGCTTTCTCATATTATGAAGTGACGAGACCATATACAGGCATTCTTTCGATCACTTTGTGCCTTTGAGTTTTCATACTTCCTCCTTAGTATTGTCCGTGTTGAGCCAACTCCTCTTGAATGACTTTCCCAATTTGTCGTCTTGTTTTGATCATGTTTCAATACACGCCCTAATGACTTCTAATTATGCATTGTCTGATATCTATGTCACTCTTCCTAACATCGCCGGTACTGGTTTAATGTGAAAGTATTTCTGAGAGCAAACCATTGACGTCCTCGTCGTGAGTAATTTATCTAACAACATTCAAAGTATCCATAAAGTGAAAACTTCTTTCGCTATAAATACAATTCAATTAGGTCGTTTAAACAACACTTGATGACGGTAACCAGTGGGCAGGAATGGTTTGTGTACAAGTGGTGAAAAACACTATCCGTCGCTTCTGATGCACCAAAGTGTCGCATAGAGAGTGCGTTCTACATAGACTGATTTGAGCAAGCACTGTAGTATATATATATATATATATTAAGCTATACTACTCAAGAGTTAAAACAGCACATCTATTCGTAGATCCAACTGAACAAAGCTGGCTTGTATTCAACCAATTCCTCCTTCTTGAACCACAAGTCAATTTCCTTCTTGGCAGATTCAACGGAGTCGGAACCATGGCAGACATTTCTACCCATGTCGACAGCGTAGTCACCTCTGATGGTACCTGGGGCGCTTTGCAATGGGTTAGTAGCACCCAAGATAGCTCTACCTTGCTTAACAACATCCTTACCTTCCCAAACGGTAGCCAAGACTGGACCGCTCAACATGTAGCTCAACAATGATGGGAAGAATGGCTTGGATTGCAAGTCTTCGTAGTGGGTTCTCAAGAGAGATTCGGTTGGTTGGACCAATTTGATTCCAACCAATTTGTAACCTCTGTTTTCGAATCTACCGAGGATAGCGGAGATCAAACCTCTTTGAACACCGTCTGGTTTGATAGCAATAAAAGTTCTTTCGTCTGACATTATTGAGTGATGAATTGAGTTGGGGTAAGAAGAATAAGAAGAAGAAGAAGGAGAATCAAGTGAAATGGGAATTGGATGAAAAATTTTTGTTGAGGGAACAGAAAATGAAATTTTTCTCCCACGTCAATTGGTTACGCAAAATTGGGATATGCATCGCAATGGATTACCCCCCCTTGGAACACTTCTAAGAGGAGTTGACGCTGTTGAGTAAGCTCAGTTTTAGTAACTGACAATGTTTATGTCTTTGATATGCGCTTCTTGGTATACGTTTGTCGTCGCCCAAAATCAATAGGACTTTTCCTCCACCTTATCTTGAGAAACGTGGGCTCGAGTTCATTATAATGTAAGCTTGTGATCTGCAAGTCTTCTCTAGATAGTTCCAGATCTTGTATTTATCTCATGATCTTAACTCTGTTGGCCCTCAATGGACTGGCAAATGAGTATGGTGTGGTATCTGGTGGCCAGTTCACCACAATTAGAGAAGTTGTCGCAAATCATGGAATGATTTTCACGACATTGAACATGACATTGATGTGCAAGAAGCTAATAGCAACTGCGTTTCAAATGACAAATGTCTAAACTATAAATTAAACCATTTTACTAAAGCGTCTCGGTTGGTACGTGAAAGGTATGGCTTGCTCTTGTTTGTGCAATACGAACGCTGAGTCGGTATTGACGTTTTGAAATAAGCCACATCTCCGGTCACACATGAAAAACAATGAGTAGCACCTTCTTGGTTCCATTGACAGTTCCTTGCTCACTGGGGGTGTGGGGTCTGCATCGCCTGTTTGGGAAACGACATTCGGTAAGCGGCCCCAACAGTGATATTCATTTTCAATATGGTCATCTGTTGACCAAAAATTAGTTCAATTAATCGCCTTACTTTGTAACACACACACACACACACACACACACACATCCTCCTCCTCTTCTCCTATGACGCACACCGGTTATTCACATGTACCTGAAGACAAAAGCAAATGCAAAGAAAGAATATCCTATACACTTACATGTATCCCGTTTGGTAAATCTGAAACATCTTATTTTGTAGTTTGTATCACAAGGAAAGAAAAATAAAAAAGTGATGTAAATAATAACACGAACATTGATGAAGAAAATAACCTCTACACAATAATAACTGGACGCCTTTATTCTTTAAGTTTCAAAATCCAATATCAAAACTCCTTGTAACCTTTCAAAGACTGCTTCTGAGGCAGATTTTTTGTTTCTTCTGAATTTTTTCTTGCGATTTCAATCATTCTTTGTTGTTGTTACTCCTGAATCATCACCTCAGAGACCACTTAGTTTCAATCGCGGCGTAGATTATAGCCTTCACTCCCTTGAGTTTCCAATAACGTGGTTCCATCAGCCCACACTCAAATTCACAACGCCACTTTCTTTCTTTCTTTTTCATTTTTTTTTTTTTTGTCAGCAAGTCTTATAATCAACAATGGGTTGTGGTGCAAGTACGCCAATTGACGATGAACAAGATCCCTTTTTGCAAGACAAGCAAATCAATGATGCCATCGAGCAATCTTTGCATTTGAACAAAGCCAATTCCAAAAACGGCGTTAAATTGTTGTTGTTGGGAGCTGGTGAAAGTGGAAAATCGACTGTTTTAAAACAACTCAAGTTATTACACAAGGGTGGGTTCAGTCAACAAGAACGAATGCAATATTCAAATATCATATGGTGTGATGTCATTCAAAGTATGAAGATCCTAATCATACAAGCTCGTAAGTTGAAGATTCCTCTAGATTGTGATAAGCCAAACAGTGCATTGATTCCATTCAAACGATGCGTGTTGAGAAGTGACGCTTTGACTCAAATTGACACTAGTATTGCTGGAGGGACAAACTTCTTGGATGATTATATCTTGAAGTATGATGAAAAAACCAAAATGAAGCGGAAGTTGAACAGCACGGGAGTGGTTCAATTCTTGGGTGATCCTGATCAGCTCAACACTTCAAATGCCGATGATGGTGAAGACGGAATTGACCCAGAGATACGAGATGAAGTTTTGTCTGGTATACCACAAGCGTCCGGTGGCAGCGCTAGCGAACAGCAATCTCGATACTCGCGTCGTGATATCGCTGAATCAATACATCAATTATGGACCAATGATGCTGGGATTAAAAAGTGCTTTGAACGATCAAATGAATTTCAGTTTGAAAGCAGTGCCGAATACTATTTCGACAATGTGTTCAACTTTGCAGATCCTAGTTACTTGTGTTCTGATTTGGATATTTTAAAAGGGAGGATCAAAACCACAGGGATTACCGAGACAAACTTTACCATCAACTCATTCCAGTTCAAAGTGTTGGATGCCGGTGGACAGCGAAGCGAACGTAAAAAATGGATCCACTGCTTTGATAATATCACGGCAGTTTTGTTTGTGTTGGCCATAAATGAATATGATCAAATGTTATTTGAAGATGAGCGAGTGAACCGTATGCATGAATCAATCATACTATTCGATCAATTGTGTAACTCGAAATGGTTTGCCAACACTCCGTTCATTTTGTTCTTGAACAAGATCGATATATTTGAGGAAAAGATCAAACGTAATCCATTGGAGAGGTATTTCCCTGATTATACAGGTAAGAATGATGATGTTAATGAAGCTCTCAAATTTTTTGAAACCAATTTCTTAAAGATGAACAGAACAAATAAGCCGATATATGTTCATCGAACTTGTGCTACTGATACAAAGTCAATGAAGTTTGTCTTGAGTGCCGTTGCCGACATTGTTATTCAACTGAATTTGAAAAAGAGTGGTATCATGTGAGACAAAATCGATTCTCGCTTTCGGTTCAACACGCAATAAGTGAGAAAGAATAGTCTCAAAGTCTCACTACACTCTATAGCTCGATAGTTTGTATATTAAATACATCTCTCTACACATGTCAGCGTCTTTTTCCTCTCCACCTTCTCTCAACTTGCTGCTGCTGCTGCTGCTGCTGCCTCCTTACCATCTCATCATGGCCATTTCGTTTCTGTTTCTGTTGTAATCCAACAAATCTTCAATCAAACCGGTACCGGAGATAACGATATCTCTATCCCAAACCTTGTTTTGACCCCATCTCTTAACGTCAGCAACGGTAATAGCATCAATCTTCTCAAATGCTTCAGTAACAGATCTTTGGTGACCAATAGCCAAAACATCTCTGGCATTGTGAGTAGCAACACGCTTTGTGTGTGTCAATTCCCTCAAGAGGTGGGTCTTGACTTGTGCCTTGGCTCTAGCAACTTCAGCTTCACTGATTGAGATGGACAATCTGTTCCATTGTTTCAATGTGAAGTGAACGAAATCGTCAATAGTGAATCTATCTGGAATTTCAGCATAAAAACCCCACAAACCGTGGTCGGACAAGGATTTTGAAAAGTGTTCGTATTTTTCGACAATGTTGTATTCTTGAACAATTGATGACAACTTGGATGACTTGTAGTGAGCTTTTGGTGAGTGAATGTTAAAGTTACCAAAGATCTTGGCAGCAACTTTCGCAGTGTATAAATCTGGTGAGTCCAATCCTTCACCATGAACAGCAATTGAAATATAAGCCTTTGGCATGGTATCATCTCTCATTCTGACTTCTGAACCCAAGAATGAAGCTGGTTTCTTTTCTGGCTTAACACCTTGTGCAACTTTCAAATTGGATTCAATGACTTCAACCAATTTGTCATGGTCAAGGTTACCTGCGGCAGAAATGGTAACATTGTCATTTACCAAGTACTTTGCCAAGTGACGCAATGAGTCTTGGGTCTCCAATCCTGAAATTGATTCTTCAGTACCCAATTTTGGTAAACCCAATGAATAGCCTTGGTATGCAGTGGCAGACAAATGGCTGATAACTCTCGACCTTGGGTTTGCTTCGAGGGCATTGGCTTGGTTGATCAAAACGTTTTTACCAAATTGGAAATCAGATTTGGAAACAATCTCCTCGGCATTGGTGGCAATAGTTGAAAGTAACTTACCTGCGGCTTCGATATTGTCATTGGTGGTCTCGGCAACAATACCGTTAAACTCTCTTCCATTTTGTGCGCTTACAACAACTCCATCGGCTGAAGTATTGTGTTGTTGGGAAAGAACAGTGGCTGTCAATGCAGAAACACCATTATTGTAAGGATGTTCAGATCTAGAACCAGCGGAGAAGTACAAACCAACTGCTGAGTGTTGTGCATTTGGAATAGTTTCAGTGGAAACGGTGACTCCATTGGATAAAGTGGTGTATTTGGTACCACTTGATACGAAACGACGTGCAGTAATGCTTCTCAATACAGATGAACCACGAATCATGATATACAGGTGTGAGATTTAGCTATTTCAATCAACAATTGACAAGGTTCTATGAAGGAAGGAACACACGAGTGAGTGTCTGTCTGTCGGTATGTATGTATGTATGTATGTACAACCTGGTTTTTGAGATTGAAATTGAGATTGCCTCTAGCTATGAGAGAAGGTTTTTTTTTTTTTTTTCATTGGGAGAATTTTGTATGGTGATATGTAAAATGGTAGCATTTGCTAAAAACCAGATTCAACCAATAGAAGAGTTGAGAAATAATAAGACCACAATTGGTAGCATTATGTAGTGATATAACTTACACAGGCATAACAACTAATATATATATCCCCACGCAATTCAAGCACTTTACGATGCATCTATATTTCTATCATTACTACCTCTGTCTCTAATGTACTCAAATCTAGGATCACAACTTCACCAGTAGACCCAAATTGTGGTACACTGATCAACCGCACTTGAGCGCCGGAATCAGGACATTTGTAAACATCAGTTTCAAACTTGTCTTGATTGCCAACAAAGTATACATGAGGTAGTTCTGAATCCAAAACAAATGGGTCGCAGTTATCAAATGGGTAACAGTATAGTGTGTCTGGAGCTGTAGGCACGAAATTTTGCCATTTCATACTAGCACGTATAATTTTCATTGAATCTGAATCTGACTGTCGTGCCACGTATTTCTTTACGTCATTAACATTTTGACCACTAGTTCCCAACATCCTCAATCCATTGACATCAAGCCAAGTGGGGTTTGTCAATCGGCTTAATCTCTCACTTCCAAGCACGGACTGGTTGGATTTGAAAAGCGATTTATGCAACGGTTGTTGAGGAAGACATATTTCTGCTGGATCATGGTCTCCTGGCATCACTGTAATGGACATTGATGTAATTAGCTCACTTATAAATTGGTCTAGCTGCGTCAAGGACTCATTGTTGTATTTGGAGATATTCTTTGATCCATAGTTGTTTGTAGTGATGTAATTCTTCAAATCCTCTTCTTCATCGATCGTCTGTAATGGTTCGACAGAATCACCAGCAATGATTAGCTGGGATATATTACTATTGAATTGCTTGTCCTCGTCACCACCAAGCTCACCAATCAAGTACTGTTTGAGAAGCTCAAGCTTGAGGTCGTAATGTCCTTCCAAACCTATATTCAAGCCAGACACTATTGCAATTTTACCCGACCTTGCACTATCTTTAAGTGGTTTTTGCGGCGCACATTCCGGATAAACAACATCCATAATCTCAAATATACCAGCTTGTATTTCAATCCCCAAAACACCAACAATACACCCTGTCACCAATAAATTATTCTGTAAAAACTCTTCGTTGTGCAAAATAGCCCTACCTGATTCATCCTCCAACATAACTATCGGCTGCTCATTGTTATCCAAATATGAAACTGGTTCTAATGGCAAAACATCATCTGTCCCCTTTTCGACATCATTCAATATATTTAGTTTATACTTGGCATCAACAAACACAGTTCCAATAACCCAACAGAGTTTACCACCTTCTATATCCAAAATCTTTTCTTGTTTCACAATCGCCTGTCCGTCAACTTTCCTGGTTCCATCGCCCCATTTCTTCATCGCATTTGACAAAGCTCGTTGGTGTAATCTATTGTAGCGATACTGGTACATTGAAAAGTATTGTTGATCATATTTACGTGATTTGGCGTCAATGAAGAATTCATTTCGTTTTTCAAATTCCACCGGTATCGCATTATCCTTTCTGTGAGCGCTCTGCGTCTCGATCTCTTTGTTGACGTACTGGGAGTATGACATTGTGCTGGCGAAACTAAAATGTATGGGCCTTGGAGGGGTCTTAGTATGATTTTTTTTTTTTTCTTTTTTCTTTTGTTTTTTTTTTTGCCTACTGTCTAATACGCGTCTATCATCAAAGCGTATTCCAACTTGAATGTAGCTTTACATCCTACTACATTGCATATCACGACTTCAATATCCTATTTCTAATATATATATACACCGCTGTTTACACTCAGTTCTTGTCTCTCTTTTGTTTCTTGTGTTTCTTTTCGATTGATTTCCCGCTTGCACCAATGGTGATGTTAACTTTAGGAGGCACATCAAACCCAAAAGATTTTCCAACTTTAACCAAATCTAGTTTATCAATTTGATAAACCGTTTTCAAACTATGTGAAGCATACGCTTGGAGATATGCTCTGTATCCATCCTTTGCAGACTGGTGCAACAAGTAGTTAGTCTTGATAAGTTTCGTCAATTGGGATTGAACATTGGCAATCTTGTTTGTTGGGAACTCGTATTCATTGAGTGGTACGTTGGCAGCTTTGAGATATCTCAAGAACCCCAACTCAGATGGCGTTAAAAACATTAATGATTTACCCTTTCCTTGGGTACCTCTTGCTGTTCTACCAACTCTGTGAATGTAGTCTCTTGGGTCATCTGGTGGATCAAATTGGACAATCCAGTCAACGGCAGGGATATCTAATCCTCTAGCTGCAACATCTGTACACACCAATATACCCTGTTTAGCATTGCAAAACTCAAAGAAAGTGTTTGTACGTTTCTGTTGCTTTTGTTTTCCATGGAGATCCAATACTGGTAAATCGATATAGTTAAGCAATTCACTGTAAAACTTGACACTGTTACAAGACGACAAAAACACGATGATCTTCTTTTTGACATTTCTTTTCAAAAATGAAAATAACAAAAGAAACCTCTTGTCTGAATCACAAACCACATACCCCTGTTCCAATCCATCGGCGGTGGACACATCTTTTTCTGGCACAACATTTATATACAACGGTCCCGGTCTCAATGAAATACGAGCAAGATCCTCAACTTTCGTAGTCTGTGTTGCTGAAAACAACATAGTCTGTCTGTCTTCATTGGGTAATATCTTTATAATTTGTTTCATTTCCTCCTCGAATCCAATTTCCAAAATACGATCAGCTTCATCAATAATCAATGCTTTCAAGTTGGAGAACACGAAACCCTGAGTGTTTTTCAAGTGATCCAAAAGTCTTCCTGGTGTAGCAACTAACAAATTTACACCTTTTGCCAATTTGGTTGCCTCTTGTCTCCGATCAGCACCCCCTATGACAATTCCACAAGTTTGTGAATGATGCTCCATCAATTGTCTAGCAACTCCAAAAATCTGTAGTGCCAATTCTCTTGTTGGAGTGATTATAATAACAGCTGTACCGTTTCTAGGTTTGATCTTTAATGAATACAAGAGTTCGATTGCTGGAATTAAAAACGCCAATGTCTTTCCTGATCCGGTCTTTGCTGCTCCCAACACGTCTCTTCCTGCCAACAATGGGGGTATCGTTTTGGCTTGCACTTTTGTCATTTTCTTGAAGCCCATTTCTCTAATAGCTTTCATTGTAGGTTCTGAAAATCCGGCATTTTCAAAAGAGTAATTGTCGTCTGATTCATTATCAGAGTTAGTGGTCGCTTCAGTTGACTCCACTACTTTCGCCTTTGTCAACTCTTGCAATCTTTTCTCGTCCTTTGCTTGCTTCTTTTCAGCAGCTTTCGTTTCTGGATCCTTGATGTCCTGTCCAAGAAGTCCCGCTACCTCATCGAACTCATCATCTAATTGATCAACAGCCTGTTCAGTGTCTACCTCGTCAACCTCAACTTCGGAGTCTGATTCATCTCTCGATCTCTTTCTGGAATGCTTAGGCAGTTCTATAGAAGACTTTTTGGAAGTCTTTCTCTCTATTGCGTGTTTGCCCATGACAGCTTAGTTTGAGTTCAATAGTTACTTAGATACAAAATAGATTTCCTACCTCATCTCTAAATCCTAAGAGTGAGAAGAGGAGGACGAGAAAAAAAAAAAAAAAAAATTAAACAAAATACTAAAGTCGTGTACAAAGGAGAGAAAAAATCACTAGAGGAGATGTAATGTTTTTTTTTTGCAGCCAACTAGAAAGCAGAGTATTATAGTCCGATCATCGTAATTCCTAGAACAGATACTACTAGAGTCTTTTTAGTTGGGCACCCAAGAGGGATAAAGTTGGAGTATTGTTGTGAAATCATTTCAATTTCTTATCAGTAGATAAATTAGTACCAGAATATAACAAAAAATCTTATTGAAAGTGTCGCCTAATCGCTTACTTATTATAGGGGTATACTAAGCTGATATAAATTTCTACTCATTGGGTTAAATAATTTCCTCACAAACATAATACAGTAGAATTTAGCCTTTCAGCTTTCTTATGGACACAGATACATTGAGATTTGCGTAGTTTGACACTGTACCTGTTTCAAAGTGAAAATTCAGCTAGCACATGCTTGTCAAAAGTTACTCGAAATAGCCTAAATTATTGATCTACATTAACATCTATACTATGCTAGGAAACAGAAATATATATCTGGTAACCAACTTAATATGTATTTTCCAATTTTTTTTTCCGGAATTTGAACAAAATATTCGAAAAAAAAAGAGTCGATATTCCCAAATAGGAAGGTGCTACCACACCTACAAAGTTTTTGCTACGCATCACCCTTTTTTACAAGGAGCACACCCACTTGACCATCAAATGAGATCTCTCAGTCTATGTATAAGCAAAAGAGGAGACGGCGATGTTAATGATTTTATTGATATTTACTTTCACTTTGTTGTTTGATTGACAGCTAGCTCTAGCTCAAAATTCTACGTCTATGCACAATTATTCACATTGCTAGCCATTAAATACATATACACTTTTAACAAAAGTTACCCCGAAGAGCAAGATAAGTCATTAGAGACACTTTATGCTCCAGTAATGTATACTTGTACCGTCTCAAGTTGAGGAGTTCCTTTTGTTAGAGAGACAACTTTCGACAACTCTTCTGTCGATTTGTTTACCTTTCTTTTTTTTTATCTCTATTTGTGTAACTTGTTATCGTGTGGTGGTAGGTTTCTAAGAACGAACTTGAATTCTCCTCAAAGTTTGATTAAGCTCATTGAGGGACCCTCATTGGATAGTGGTGGTTCTAGTAGCTCTATTTAGAAGAAAGTTTGCTTCTAACCTGTAAACTCTAAGCTATGCGATATGAATTGCACCCAATTTTGCTAGTCTCTTCCGAAGTTGACATTATATTTTTCTTTTTTTCCACTTGACTCATTATTGGATTGCCATCTCTTACATCATACATTCACACCATACTTCTTCTCAAAGCAGGTTCGAAGACATGTCTGCGTATACAGTATCATCGACCAAATCATACATGCAAGCCATGCAACCCATGGTTGATGCGCTACAGGAGCTCATGAAGTCGCAACAGCAACAACAACAACAACAACAAGCACTACCAAAGGTACCGACTATCGACAACGAACATGCAAAGTATACCCCCGTGGATACTATATTATCACGGTTTGAAGGTGTATCCACCAAATCATTTAAGCGTATGCTTGAGGGGTCTCTGTCCAATGACATCCAGATCTTGAAACTGATTCAAGATGAGTGTGCAAAGATCAGTTTAAACAAAGGGCAAGACGAGCAGGAAACATTTACTCTTATTCAGTCTTTGGTTACTGACACAACTAGTGATGAACAACTTCAGTCATCCCTTTTTGACATATTAGGATTTGACGAGTTCAATTTGATCTCAAAAATCATCCAAAATAAGCAAGTGTTTGCAGAAGCAAAGAAACGAGGCTTGCTTTCTGCTCAAGATAGAGCACAATTATTGATTGAAAATCAAAAGAGAAACGCCAACCAGCAAATACTACCGAAATCGGAGTACCAGAAATACCCTCATGTCTACAAAAATCAGGATACAGTGAATATAGCTGCCATCACTGGAGGAAAATTCGTTCTACCTAAAGGCACAACCAGAAATTCGTACCCGCTAAACGAGGAACTAATTATACCCTACCCGGAGGAGCTGCCGAACAAATGGATCTCCAAGAAACAGCTTGTGAAAGTTAGGGATTTAGACTTTTTGTGTCAAGGGACTTTCAAGAACTACGATACCTTGAACAAAGTGCAAAGTTTAGTGTATCCAGTTGCGTACAATAGCAACGAAAATATGCTTGTTTGTGCTCCAACAGGTGCTGGTAAAACAGATGTGGCATTGTTGACAATTTTACACACAATCGGACAATTTGTTACGGAGACTGTCGGTGGCGACAATGAAGTTACTATCGATATCGATTATGATGAATTCAAGATTGTGTACGTTGCCCCTTTGAAAGCATTGGCGGCGGAAATTGTGGAAAAGTACTCGAAGAAGCTTCAGTGGCTAGGTATCAAGGTACGTGAATTGACAGGTGATATGCAATTGAGCAGACAAGAAATAATTGGTACTCAAATTATTGTCACCACACCTGAAAAATGGGATGTCGTTACCAGGAAACTGACAGGTGATAGTGAATTGGTGTCAAAAGTGAAACTACTCATCATTGATGAGGTTCATTTATTGCATGAAGATCGTGGTTCAGTTATTGAAACATTGGTTGCTCGTACTTTAAGACAAGTTGAAAGTACTCAGCTGATGATTCGAGTTGTCGGGTTGTCCGCTACTTTACCAAATTATATGGACGTTGCTGACTTTCTTGGTGTGAACAGAAATGTGGGTATGTTCTACTTTGATCAGTCATTTAGACCCATCCCATTACAACAACAAGTTTTGGGAGTGCGTGGCAAGTCTGGATCCAAAACCGCCAGGGAAAACCTTGACAAAGTATCGTATGAAAAATTATCGGAATACGTCAGTCAAGGACTCCAAGTCATGGTGTTTGTTCATTCCCGAAAAGAAACTGTTAACACTGCAAGGACCTTTATTCTGATGGCACAGGATCACAATGAATTGGGCTTATTCGACTGCACCGAGAGTGAGTACTACGAAAAGTACAAAAGAGAGGCATCACAGAAGAATAGAAGCAAGGAATTGAGAGAGTTATTTCCGCACGGGTTTGGAACTCATAATGCAGGTATGCTTCGAAGCGATCGAAATTTGACCGAGAAAATGTTTGAAAGTGGTGCCATCAAGGTCTTGTGCTGTACTTCGACATTGGCTTGGGGTGTAAACTTGCCAGCAGCTGTTGTAATTATCAAGGGAACTCAAGTGTATAATCCAAAGGAAGGTGGATTCACGGACTTGGGAATATCAGATGTCATTCAAATATTTGGACGTGCTGGTAGACCGCAATATGAAAACTTTGGTACTGGTATTTTATGTACCACTAGCGACAAACTCGATCACTATGTTTCATTGTTGACTCAACAACATCCAATTGAATCCAAGTTGAAGGAGAAGTTGATTGACAATTTGAATGCAGAGATTTCATTGGGAACTGTGACTAATGTAGACGAAGGTGTTCAATGGCTTGGATACACCTACATGATCACCAGAATGAAAAAAAACCCATTTGCATATGGAATGGCCTGGCAGGAGATTCAAGATGACCCACTTTTGATAAATCGAAGAAGAGAGTTGATTATATCTTGCGCCAAAAGACTTCATGGATTGCAAATGATTGTGTATGACGACGAAACTGGTTCGTTCATGCCAAAAGACTTGGGAAGAATAGCGTCAGATTTCTATTTGCTCAGTAACTCTGTGGAAATCTTCAATCAAATGGTTAATCCGTTGGCAACTGAGGCTGACATATTATCGATGATAAGTATGAGCAGCGAATTCGACAGTATCAAATTCAGAGAAGAAGAAGCAAAAGAGTTGAAGCAGTTGATGGAAGATGACTCACCATGCCAGATTGGAGCAAACGTTGATACTCCACAAGGGAAAACAAACATCTTACTTCAAGCCTTCATCTCACAAGCAAATATAAGAGAATCAGCATTGATCTCTGACTCCAATTACGTTGCCCAAAACTCGGCAAGAATATGCCGTGCTTTGTTCTTGATTGCCATGAATAGACGATGGAGCAAATTGATGAACATCATGTTATCGTTGTGCAAGTCTATAGACAGACGTGTTTGGTCATTTGAGCACCCCATGATGCAGTTTGATTTACCTGAACCGGTTTTGAGAAACATTAGATCAAAAAACCCGTCCATGGAGATGCTTAGAGATATGGAACCTGCAGAATTGGGTGATATGGTGCACAATAAGCTGATGGGGAATGTTTTGTACAAACTTGTAGGAAAATTTCCCTATATCGAACTTGATTCGGAGATTTTCCCCATTACAACCAATGTAATGAGAATTCATATTGTGCTTCAACCGGATTTCAATTGGGATGATAGGCTTCATGGACAAGCTCAATACTTTTGGCTTAGTGTAGAGGAGTCAGATACTAGCAACGTCTTGCACGTGGAGAAGTTCATTTTGCACAAGAGGCAGTTGAACAATCCTCATGAGTTGGATTTCATGATTCCTTTATCCGATCCACTTCCTACGCAAATCATTGTTAGGATTGTGTCTGATTCTTGGATTGGATCAGAGACAATACACCCAGTCTCGTTCCAGCACTTGATAAGACCACAAAATGAGACGATGAAGACGGAACTTTTACGTTTGCAGCCCTTGCCGGTTACGGCTTTGAAGAACCCACAAATCGAAAAAATATACTCGTCAAAGTTCAAGTACTTTAACCCCATGCAGACAATGGTATTCCACACCTTGTACAATACAAACGAAAGTGCATTTGTCGGATCTCCTACTGGATCTGGAAAGACATTGGTTGCAGAGTTGGCTATATGGCATGCCTTCAACGAATTCCCTTCGTCCAAAGTGGTGTATATTGCCCCAATGAAAGCCTTGGTTCGAGAAAGAGTTGATGATTGGAGACATAGAATTTCCAAAAACAGTAGCCACAAATTGGTTGAGTTGACTGGTGACTCATTACCCAGTGTAGATGAGGTTAAAGAAGCCGATATCATTATAACCACACCGGAAAAATTTGACGGTATCTCACGTAATTGGCAGACTCGGAAATTCGTACAAAAGGTGTCCCTTGTCATTATGGACGAAATTCATTTGTTGGCAAGCGATCGTGGGCCCATTTTGGAAATGATTGTGAGCCGTGTCAACTATATCTCCTCACAAACTAAGCAACCAATAAGACTACTTGGTATGTCAACTGCTGTTTCCAATGCTTTCGATATGGCTGGGTGGTTGGGTGTTAGAAATGGGCTTTTCAATTTCCCACAATCGGTGCGTCCAGTCCCCTTGCAAATGTACATTGATGGCTTCCCAGACAATTTGGCATTTTGCCCATTGATGAAAACAATGAATAAGCCAGCATTCTTAGCTATCAAGCAGCATTCTCCCGATAAGCCAGTGTTGATTTTTGTTGCATCTCGTCGTCAAACGAGATTGACCGCGTTGGATTTGATACACTTATGTGGAATGGAGTCTAATCCTAGGAGGTTTTTGAACATGTCAGATTATGAATTAGAGGATGTTTTGGAAAAAGTCAAGGACGAGACTTTAAAACTTTCGTTGCAATTTGGAATGGGGTTACATCATGCCGGTTTGGTTGAATCTGATCGTCAAATATCTCACAAATTGTTTGAGTCAGGAAAGATTCAAATCTTGATTGCTACGTCGACTTTGGCATGGGGTGTCAACTTGCCAGCTCATCTTGTGATTGTTAAGGGAACGCAGTTTTTTGATGCCAAAATCGAGGGTTATAGAGATATGGACTTGACGGATATTCTCCAAATGATGGGACGTGCAGGAAGACCGGCGTTTGACACAAGTGGTACCGCTATAGTATACACCAAGGAGTCCAAGAAGATCTTTTACAAACATTTCTTGAATTTGGGATTCCCCGTTGAATCTTCGTTGCATAAAGTATTGGATAACCATCTTGGTGCCGAGATCTCGGCGGGTACAATCAAAACAAGACAAGAAGCGATGGATTTTTTGACTTGGACTTTTCTTTACAGGAGAGCTCATAATAATCCAACGTACTATGGAATTGAGGACGTTTCCCAGTATGGTATTTCCCAGTATTTGGCAGGTCTTATTGACAAGAGTATTGACAGCTTGGTGGAGTCAAAATGTGTTTATACTGGTGGAACTGAGGATTTACATCCAACCCCATTCTTGCACATTTCCTCCTACTATTATCTATCTCATTTGACCATGCGCAATTTTGTCAACAACATCAAGCCCGACTTGAGTTTTAGAGATGCTTTGAAGTTGTTGTGTCAAGCTACCGAGTACGATGAATTGGCAACAAGACACGGGGAGGAGTTGATAAATATGAAGTTGTCACTAGCTATGAGATACCCGGCAGAAGACCTTGAATGTGAGTTCATTTGGGATCCTCACGTGAAGGCATACTTGTTGTTGCAGGCATTTATGAGTAGGGATGAATTGCCAATTGCTGATTATAGTCAGGATACCGTTTCCATCTTGGACCAAGCGTTGCGTATATTGCAAGCTTATATCGATGCAGCTGCCGAAATGGGGTTCTTGAGTGCGGTTTTGACGTTTGCAGAATTGATGCAGTGTATAAAGCAGAGGTGCTGGTATGACAACGATCCAGTTACTACATTGCCTGGATTGAAGTTGACATCAAAGACTACAACAGCAGAAAAGGTAACTCTCAAAGACTTGGGAGTGATGAATAAGGGTCAATTGTTTAAAATTGCAGAGAAGATAGGTGTATGTAAAAACAACACTGATGCGAGAACACCAGCAAGTACCGATGAGGAGGCAAAGAGACAATTCGTGAACATTGCATCCCATTTACCAACTGGAGACTTACAGTTTAAACAGAGTGAACAAGAGGTTGCTCGAGTGACATTAATCCACAATAACTATCCACTTAGTAACGAATTCAAGGTTTATTGTCCCCATTTCCCCAAACCACAAAGAGAATCGTGGTTTGTGATCATTCACGACAGTAAAGAGTTGCTTTTACTTAAGCGGGCTTCTCCTAGGCTCAAACTGAAGAAGGGAATCGTGTCTTGTGAAGTTGACATTCCAAGTGATTTATTTGGCAGAAGTGTAACCATTTCTTGTGTTAATGATGCTATGGATATAAAATACAGTCTAGACACAACCCTTTTATAAAATTCAAGTACATACAAGATTAGACTATTCAAAGAAATCATCTTCTTCTTGAGTGTCCCCATCCTTGTTTTCTGGTGCATCAATTTCTTCACTAGGCGTGGCTCTAGCATTGGCTGCAGCATGAGTATCAATCTTCTTACCACTGAGTATATCATCCACCGTGAACGGCACTTTACCCTCCTCCATCATCTTTTCCACCTCTTTTCTAAACTCCAATCTCCTAGCCTCAGTCTTGCGTAATCCAATCTTGACATTAGGATCTGACAAATCCTCATCGGTGGCACTGGGATATAACGAGATATACTTTTCCGATTTAGGGAAAAGCATCACATACATTAAATCAATTTCTCCGTGCTTCAACTGTTTTCTAGCCTTTTTGATGTCTTTCCGTACTTCAGTCTTTTGCACCTCCTCAAACGCTTTACGCAACTGTTTTAATTTTCTAATTGCCTTCTTTCTTTCGAAAAAACGCACCATGTGGTATTTCGTAGCATTGTGTTTAGCTTTGAGGACATGTTGCGAGTTCTGTAGTTCTACTTTGAGACCTTTGAGTGCTCTTTCATACTCGATTTTCTTGTCGGCTGGTAATTTGTCATTCTTGGATAGAAGTCTTTCAATGTCTCTGATTTTCTTTTTGAGTTTGGCAGATGAGCCGGTGTTTATTGCCTTGGAAACTTCTATGGGACTGTTTCTATTTACTCTGTATGACTTCTTTGCTTTTGGCATAGTTGGCTAGTAAGTTTTTCGGTTTGTTGAAGTTCAATCACCCTTCAAGAGATGGAATATTTGAAAACTTTTGGGGAGATGAGTGAAGGAGAGGACACAAAAGAAAGAAGGATGAGAAATTCCAAAAGATTTTTTATTTTTTTTTTTTTTTTCTTTTTCTTTTTGTTTTCCACCAAAGCAACAACGATTGACACCACCACCAGATAGACATAACTCAACTGGGAGGACTCAGTACATTCAATTGTTTACATTCATAACGTCTACACCATGGGGATACTAGAAAAGATAGCACAGATTCAGGAGGAACTTTCACGTACTCAAAAAAACAAAGCTACCGAGTACCACATTGGTCTTCTAAAAGGTAAATTAGCACGGTATCGTAGAGAGTTACTAGAACCACAACCAGGACAAGGTTCATCAGGAGGTGGTCAGGGATTTGAGGTTGCAAAAGCAGGTGATGCGCGTGTGTCATTGATTGGGTTCCCATCAGTTGGTAAATCATCCTTCTTGTCAAAAGTCACAAACACTAAATCAGAGGCAGCTAACTACGAATTCACAACTTTGACATCGGTGGGTGGTATCTTGGAGTACAATGGGGCTGAAGTGCAAATAGTGGATTTGCCAGGAATCATAAAAGCTGCATCCCAGGGGAAAGGCAGAGGACGTCAAGTGATTGCCGTGTCTAGGACTTCAGATTTGATATTGATGGTTTTGGATGCCACGAAAAGTGAAGACCAAAGACAAATTTTGGAGAATGAGTTGGAGTCAATGGGTATTAGACTAAACAAAACAAAGCCCAATGTCTCAATCACCTTGAAAAAGACCGGAGGTGTCAAGATGAACTCGATCATTCCGCCAAAGTATCTTGACGAGAAAATTGTTACTGCATTACTAAAAGATTACAAAATATTGAATGCTCATGTATTGATAAGAGACGAGAATGTCACAATTGATGATTTTATCGACGTTATCAATGAGCAGCACGTCACTTATATCAAGTGTCTATACGTGTACAACAAGATTGATGCTGTTAGTTTAGAAGAGTGTGACAGATTGGCAAGAGAGCCAAACACAGTGGTCATGTCATGTGAGTTGGACTTAGGTATTGACGATTTGAAAGAGGAGATTTGGCGTCAGTTGGATTTGTTGAGACTATACACCAAGCGAAGAGGTATCTTGCCCAATCTTGAAGAGCCAATGGTTGTGAGAAATAAAAGTACGATTTTGGAAGTTTGTGATTCCATCCATCGAGATATGAAGAACCAGTTTAAATATGCATTGGTTTGGGGGTCAAGTGCCAAGCATTCGCCTCAGAAGTGTGGTTTAAACCATCCTGTTCATGATGAAGATGTAGTGCAAATAGTGACCAAATAGACTAACCAACTTTGTGTGATAAAGGTTTGGCTTGGAACTATTTTTCTTTTTTTTTTTTTTTCGTAACGCGTCTGCAGTAGGAATCATCATCAAATCTTTTAGTAGACACGATACACGAGATGAACAAATTTGGGGATCTACCTGGTATTGATTACAATGGTCAGGAGGTGCTTGAATCCTCAGATGTTGAAGCGGAAGATCAGATTCATAATAGCTTACAGGAAGAGGATGCCGAGCCAGCTATAAACTTCACACAATTGCAAACTCAATTTTCCGAAATTGAGATCTCCAATGACAAATATGACCTTTCTAGAAATCCTTTGAATTATAAACGTTTTCCGCTTGGTACAAGAAAGGAAACCAAGCATGAGAAATTGGCAAGAATAAAACGCGAATTGGAAGAGCTCCAACGAGAGGAGCTGGAGGAAGGCGAGGACACAGACACAGACACAGACACAGAATCCCACAAAGCTGAAGATCTCCTACGAATGTTTCAAGCCTTGAATGCGGCACCAGATAGACAAGTGTTCCCGAAGGAAGAAGAGCTTAAGATCAAAGAAATTCTCATCCCGCCTCCTGAACCAACCAAAGCCACCCTGCAACAAATTGCACAACTCGTGAGTCTCGAAAATAAATTACATCAACTTGAAAAACAGTTGGGCATAGACACTTCACTTCAGCACCCAGTTCAACATTCATTGAATAGCATTACCAGGCACCTTGATCTCATCAACCATGCGGATTTCAACCTCGAGTCCATCAAGTCCAAGATCGAATCCACAGGAAAGGAAATGGAAAAATTGGAATTGCAAAAGAGACTATTTGGATGGGAAGACCCACCAACACCCAAGACAGACAAGATTGATGAACTATACAAGATATTACCAGATTTGAAAAAGTATTGTGGTATTGCTCCTTCGATTGCAGAGAGAATAAAAGGGCTAAACCAGATACATGCTGAGTTGGAAGAGTCCATACATTTTTCCAGTAATTTGAATCAGTTTATTAGTGACTTGGCACAGGATATGAAGCATTGGGACAAATCGTTGGAGGCATTGAACCGCGGATTGGATACTCTGATGGAATCTTTCGAAACAAACAAAAGCAGACTTGAAAGTAGATTGGGCGAGCTTGAGAAACGAATGCCTAGGTGATTCACATTGTTGCGGACTGTTTGTACTGCGTTACTTCGGTGTTTATTCAGATTGGGGAATTGAAGCATGCTTGATTACCTTTTCGCTTCAGATCTGGCGACAAAAGTCAACTAGAAGTTGCGCAAACTGTTGCACTCTATGGATATGCGGCATTGATCTGCCCCCCCATGCTGTTGACTGTAATTTTACATAATTGACTTAGCATATATCACGTGGATCAATATTTGCTGCCAATTTCTCACTACCACAGCCCATTAGTCAAGCTTCAAAGGGTATATTTGATCAAAGGTTGTACGCATGTATAAATACTATGTCACTTGGCTCTTTTTTGTAGACGTAACCCTGTCTACTTGTATTTGTCGGGTTGTTTTGCAGTGTATGTGTTTCCTACATGCAAGAGAACTCACATCAAGAATACAATTCCTGCAACTGTGTTCAGGCAATTGAACATGACTCGCCAGATCAGCGATTGTATTACGTCGTATTGAAGCAGCATCCTAGAAAGTGGTAAGCTTTCGTTTCCCTACCAAATTGATTTTGTGAGAAGTCACCAGTATTACTTTTTTTTTTCTGTGTTTACAGTCAGTGCTGCAAAAACACTCTATCCACAAAAGCAGAACAGAGACAAGAAGAAGCAAACACAGAGATGCAGTTTTGCACTTGTTATATTCAATCTTCTCTAACTGAGGGGTGGGGGTAGGCATTACAAACAAGTGTAAGCATATTTGTGTTCTCTATTATGGTTGGGCTTAATCGTATTGTACTCAATAAAACTTGGTGGTAGATTTAACTTGGACGCTTTCGCCTCTTTCAATCAATACATATATTCCTTGGAGCCCCCTATATTAGACATAATGGATACATCTATTAAATCAACGGCTATACCTAAGTACTTTTCTCATATATCTCTTACTGCTGCCATTTTTGGCGGTAATTTTTTGGTATTCTTTGAAGCATATCACTAAAAATCTAGCCACAAAAACCCCCCAAATGTCACTTCTTCCTCTTCTTCTCCTTTCTTCTCCTTTCTTCTCCAGTAACATGTCCCCGTGCGATCTTATTATGAAGCAACCTAAAGAGCGTACCCCCTCCGTCGATCCAAGCTTGAATGTATTGTGTGACTTGAGTCAAGAAGTTTCAAGTAGAGGATTAAGACGTGACAACATCCAAAGTGAGAAATCATTTAACTGGATGTTACCAACTTATGTTACCACCACTGCGATTGAGTCTAGTTCCCAAGCAATGAGCTCCTACTTTGCTAAGACGGACTCGTCTAACAAGTATCAAACCGAAGCTGCTGTGTACGCCGACGCAGCCACTGAGGAAGAGATATGTTTCCCTTGCAACAGATTTGCCCAATTGGATTTGAATGGTCGTCACGATGACTATGCACGTAAAGTCAGAAGGTGGGAGAAGCTGAAGATTGGCACTGAGTTCCCTGCTTTGACATTGTGTGAACGATTTGGCAACACTGATGAATCGCTGCAAGAGAAAAAATTGGGAGAACCACGCGACAACATTAATGCGAATCAAGAGAAAGTGGTTGATGAAAGAGGATCCCACTTGGTTTGCCCTGTAACTGCCTGTGCTGTCCCTGAAGTCCCTGTTAGAAATGGCCCATGTGAAGCAAGTGTCACAGAAACCAAAGTCAAATGGAAGGCAAAGTTGAGCCAAGATTTGACAAAAGTTGGCAATGCATTGAAGTTGAAAGCCAAGGTTCAGGACAATGGAGCAGTTGAAACGTCCGGATTGGATGACACTGGTAGTGGAGTGAAGAAAGTGCAATCCAAGTTGAGCGGACAAGTGAAATCGTTGTTCCAAAAGGACAGCAAGCCTGGATCCATTGGTTCTGCAAATGAAGAACAAGGGCTGGTTGCAAAGAGTGAACCGAACCAGCTGAAACCCAAATTGAAGGACCATTGGAATTCATTGTTCAGCAAGAAAGGCAAGAATGCCAAATCCATGGGTGCAGGAAAAGAGTGCAGCGAACTGGCTACGTTGAAGAGAGAGATCGTGAATGATTCTGAAAATGTGCCAAATGCCACTCATGTTGATGAACCACCCCGTGTTTTGGATTCCAAAGATGCCAGTGCAGCTGCATTTGAAAATTGTGAGAGCAAGTATGCTATTGGTGCTGCCCTGGTTGGCAATAATGAGAATGCTCCACTTGGAGTTGAAACATTGCCACCAGTGTCAAAGTGTCTGAATGTTGAACTTCAATTGAAGGCAGTCCAAGAGGAACTTGAATTGACAAAACAGGTACTGGAATTGAACATACAGGAATTGGGATTGACCAGGCAAGAGTTGGACATGACGAAGCAGGAATTGGACATGACTAAGCAGGAATTGGAATTGATGAGACGTGAAGTTGAAGCTGTTAACTCTAGAAGTGAAGTTTCTGGTCCCATCATTGAAGTTGTTGTTCTTGATATTGACGCTATTGATTCTGAAGTTGAAGCTTCCGGTCCTGAATGTGAGCTTATTTGTCTTGAATGTGAGCTTGTCTGCTCTGAATGTGAGCTTTTCTGCTCTGAATGTGAGCTTTTCTGCTCTGAATGTGAGCTTTTCTGTCCTGAATGTGAACTTGCCTGTCTTGAAACCAAGGCTATTGGTCTTGCAAATGAAGCTCTTAGTCCTGAAAATGTGGTTGCTGATACCACGTCACAGATTGCTGAGTTGACAACAGTTGCTCCTCCATCAAAGCCTACTACCCCAGAAACTTCCATTAGAGGTGAGAACCCTAAGTTAGTGAAATTTTTGATGAAAATCAATAGAGCATCGAAGAAGACTGCACGTGCTATTGATACCGCATTGGATTCCGCTACGGCTGACTATGAAGATATCTACCCCTCCGATGTCACGAGCAAAAGCAGATGTGAGAATGAAACTGCAACTGCAGACGTGACAGAAGTTTGCAAGAAAGGCAAACACGAGGATCAGAATGAGAAAAAGCGCACTACAATGACATCAAACGAAAAACAGGCTGCTGTGACAGAGTCTGCACATGACGATGGTGTTGCTGTTGGTGAGCATGAACCCTTGTCCATTGAGGAAGAAGCGATTAAAGCTGTCGAGGGAGCGCAACCGGTATTGAGTCCCCAATTTCCATCTGGCGATAAACCTTTCTTTGGTATTGACCTAGCAAGCGACGAGACTGCTGTGCCGAAAAAGAGCAAATTTTGCCGGAAACTTTGCGGATATTTGAAAACTGAATCCAAGTTCAATCACAAAGCCAAAAAAGCTCTGCATGTGTCTTTTGAGGAAGAGCCAAGGGTAAAGCGCGAGACTCGTGGAACAACGGGTGAAGCTGCTTCTCTGGTGAGTCAGATTGAGAGTGGCAATGTTGTTCAAATTGCTCGCCATCCTGTTGAGGTTCCAGAAGCATGTGGTGTTGAAGAGCCAGAGATCAGTACCAGTGAAGAACCAGACGATAGCATCGCTGAAGCTGAAGAAGCGCAAACGGTTCTGGTTTACAGTACAGATCAATCAAGTGTTGAAGGATCGTCTCCGGATTCAAAGACTAGTGAAGATGAAAGAGAAAACTCAAATACGAAGATTGAAATTGATGCAGGCGATGATGATGTCGATGATTCAGATATTGAAAATCTTGCTTCGTATTGCCCTCCTTCAAGTGATGGCATATTGGAAATTGACCCATTTACTGGTCAGTATTTTGGACGGCGTGGATTTTTGGATGATTATTTCCAACCAAGGTCTTGTGATTTGAGAAGGCCCTGGGGCGGATATTTTAGTTGGCTTAGGCGCTGGTTTCCTCATGAAAGTAAAGAGCATAGCAGCACGAAAAGATTGTGCAAAACTGCTGCACCACCACTCAAGAATGCTCCCAAAGCAGGTGCGTGGGCTTTCAGCTCTGAAAGAGGATGGCATCGTGTAACGGATGACGATGAAGTTGAATAGAAAGTCATCGGCCCAACTTGAAGGAATCGGAGAATGGTATTTGTCTCAGTTGAATATGTCATGTTGAGAGATTTGGGATGAATCAATTGTACCTGAGGATGATGATGATGTTGTTGTTGTTGTTGGTACTTGATGACATGAGACATACTATGAAAACCTTGACAAGAGCAGTGGCGACGTTGGACTGAATCTTGAGAATAGAGGGTTGTGATGTGGGTTTCATTGAAAGTTGGCAGAAGTTTTTGGGATACTACGCAGGTTGTTGCATTTTCGGCAGGAGCTGTCACGATAATTGAT